TGGCACGTCTGCCATTAGATAGGAGCTTCGTGCTCAACTTAGTTATCAATCTTGTCATATTAGTTTGACATCTTTGATACAATTAACGAGTTCACTTCCAAGTGAACAACCCGATAGTCTTCTTCTTATCATAGCATACCAACCAGCGAACACCCAGCCAAATTTAGTTAGCCAGTTTGAGTATTCGTTACATCCCGAAGCCTACCTCTCCTTATCCACTCCTTTCTAGACAAGTGACCTATTCTCCTCTCCTTCTCCTAGCCAAAGATATAGATCTCCTGCTCCTTTCCTAGTAGTCAGGAGAGGAGAGGAGGGGAGATTCCAAACACTGTACTTAGCCGACGAAAGGAATCGAGCTACCTCTCTATCTACACTATAAAAAGGTCTTTCGAAAGCAGCGTACTAACAGGGGTAGGGATAAAGGTAGTGAAGTCGTACGAATCCCTAAAATCAAGGTATTGAAGTCGTATAATAGAATAAAATACCGTAGTACTTCGTAAATTGAACTTAAGAAGTAACAAGAATGCTATGGTAGGCGAGTGGAGTATCAAAACTGCTTGTCCGGCCACTTAGAGAACAGGTTCTACGGATCCCGCGTTTCTCGCAACCTTCTACGTAGAAGTACGACTTGTAGCAAGTAGGAGCTTCTGCTTTACTCTAGTTGTCACTATTTCGCACTCTACAAGCCTACTCAGCATCCTTCTTAAATTCGATTTACTACAGTACGGTATGTTTAGGGTTCGATTAGAAATTTTCGACGCGAACATGTGCGAGGAAATTTATGTAATTATGCCCAGTGTTGAAAGTGCAAGTGGATGCCTGAGGTGGTATTTACCGTCTCCTTCAAAGGCATATTCCGGATTGCGGGGCTGTGCTGTAGGGTACCAAGGAACAGGACGGCTTTTCCGAAATTGTGGTGGATTACGGAGTATGGTGGTTTGTTTTTTCGTGACGGGTTGGTTGTTTTTGGATATTACAGTACTTCTACATATGAGTATAAGCTTACGATCTAATTCAAGTCTGTTCATTGAAGCATAATATTCCACACATCGTCCCTCTTTCGATACAGTACAGCCGAAATACATTTCCTTCCATCCAGCCAACTTCCACGGCCTTCTCCAAATCTTCTCCTCCCCTCGCTTATTCCTCGGAAAAGGGGATGGATTGACTTTCGGCGCCCGGCGGTCAAGCTTTTCGATTTCCGACTTCAGTCTCCTGGAAAGTGGTCATAAGCAGCCCAGAAACTCTAAATAAACTCATGAATTAGCTACCCAAGCTTTCTACCAGATTCCATGCTAAGTGGACGGCATACGCCTTAATCGCCACAAACCTGTCTCTCGGGACCGAGATGGGAAGTACGGAGAAGGGAATACGTGGGATGTTCTTTTTGTTGAGTGTAATAAAGATTTGAATTTCGTGGGTTTGAAGAGGCTTTTCAATGGAGTACAGGGAAAAGTCCCCGTGAAGTCTTACTGTTTGTTAGGCATGGGACGAAGAACTACATACTTCTACCTGTCGTACTCCGTATAGGACCTCTTCCCCGTGGGCCCTGGGTTGTCGATTTACCTTGCTCTTGAAAATTATCAACGTGCCGTTTTACTTCTATCTGGGAAAGCTCTTTTCAAGTCTGTTACCGTCGTGGTCAGCGCAAGTACCCAAAATACTTCGCAGTACAATTACTCAAGACTCAGAACCAATAGTCGCGAAGCTTGTATTGTGAAATATACATATGTTTACAAATATAGTGACCTGTCTGTCGGAACCAAAGTCGTAAATTCTTATTTCGCATCTAGAGATATACCCCACAAAGCTACAACATGCCTGGTCAAACATGTGGGGTAAATTTACGACAATCAAGGTTCTTCCATGATCCCCCCTATCCGGTCTGGGGAGCCTCAAATTTCGGGACTCCACAACATGTCATGTAAACGTTTATGCCACCTTGGAAGGCGATAATATAAGTAGAAGGTAGTGGCCCCGGGAACTGGCTTGTGATCACCCGTCTAGTCATCGCATTCCGATCTTGCCGTTTGTGTTTCCAGTCGTTTTCAAGTCATTTTTTCGCCAAAGATGCGTTCTTTCCTTTTAACAGCCTGCATGGCTGGCAGCACTATTGCTTATGATTCCCTTTTTGCTTGGAAGTCAGCTCCTATCGCCGAAACCAGAACTTTGGATGAGCTCCATGCTGCGGCGCTCACTGAGGGAGGAGTTATTAATCTTTGGTCCGGGGGTGATGAGCCAGCGCAACAGAACCAGTTGAAGACTGCTTTCGAAGCTCGGTTCCCGGGTATGACACTCAATGTTACTGTTGATGTCTCCAAGTACCATGCTGGCAGGATTGATCGACAACTCAACGAGGGAAAACTCCAGATTGATGCCACCGTTCTTCAAACCGTCCAGGACTTCCCACGCTGGGCCCAACAAGGCGTTTTGCTCAACTACAAGCCAGTCAACTTCGACTTGATTGACCCTTCTTACCGAGACTCATTCGCAGCTTGGTATGGAGTCTATATTATCAATTGGTCTACTTTGACCAACCCATCCAAGTTGGCAGCCGGTACACAGCTCCCAGTTGAGTGGGATGACTTCCTCCGACCTGAGTTCAAGGATAAATTGGTAGTGACATATCCAAATGATGACGATGCCGTGCTTTTCGCATTCGACCTCATGTAAGTCCTCTGCTCTCACTCCATACCCAAAACATGACTAATCCCAATCCCCAGCATGCAACAATACGGCATCGAATGGTTCGAGTCCTTCCTGAAGCAAAACCCATTCTGGGTCCGCGGTACCGAAACCCCAGGTACCATCGTCCGCCAACAAAACAGCACCTACGCCGTCGCCATTCCATCCTCCCTCAACCGTCCCTCTGCACCACTCAACGCCACCCGCCCAACCACGGGCCAATTCGCAGCCTGGCCCCAAACCGGCGCGATCTTCAAGGACGCACCACATCCCGAGAGCGCCAAGTTGCTCTTCAACTACTACGTCAGCAATGAGTTCCAGGAGCTCCGAACTTCGGGCGGTAGTTGGAGTGTTCGAACGGATATTGCTACTCCTGCTGGAGTGCAACAGCTTTCTAACATGTCTACTGTGAATACTGCTGCGTTTGGACGGTTTATGGCGGATCGTGCGAGGGTTGAGAGATTGAAGTTTTACTTTGAGTCGGTTATTGGGCCGGCGCAGGGTTTGAGCCCGTTGGTTGATGGGGTGTAGGTGGATGAATGGATGCTTTATGTAGTATGATTGTATCATGATATCTAGGGATAGGAATGAAATGTAGGCTTTGGTGACGTATACAAGATGAACGTTTTTTGTGAAGAATATATATTGTATCCGTCGCTCTTTTGTCGTTGTCGAACCAGGTGAAATCTTCGTACTTATATGGAAATAACTAAGTTCCATGCAATGTGCATACCAAAACCCTTTCATCTTTCTTCCAAGCCTCTAGTGTTGTACTAACGAGGAAATAGTATTGTACCTTTACATTAAACATGATTCATCTAATAATCTAGGGAGTCATTAATACCGAAAAGATCTACTGTTAGGAAAGAGACTTTCGTACTATAATTTCCAAGCTTCTTAGACAAAATCTAAACTCGGAAAATAGATGCTTGATACGGAAATTCACTTGCTGGCGATAGTCACGTGGTCTTATACTCTTCGACCTCAGGGGTCTAGCTAGGTTTTATTTACGCGACGGTCTGTTTACTAAACCTTAGCGCGTATCGGGTAAAGCACGGGCTTAAGCGAAAACTCAATTGAGACACGTGTAATGACCAACGTCACCTCAACATCTAACATCCACAACCCCACCAGAACGCTGGCTATTTTAAGAATTTACATAACTTGGATCCAGTATTTGCGCACCCGATTTACGGATTTGTTGGGTGTCCTGCAGGAATCCCCACTGTACCACCTTCACCCCGCAACCATATGTACATGTGATACAATGGTCGACGTTGACTACTACCCAGAGGCAGAGGCTGCTTATTACTCTGAACGTGCATCTCGGCCTCCTTCTCAACCTCGACCTTCCTCACAAATTCCGTCCCAATCTCAACCTTCCTCACAGATTCGATCACAATTACAATCTCGGCCTTCCTCTCATTATCAGCCTTCCTCGCAAATTCCGTCCCAATCTCAACCTCCATCTCAATCTCAGCCTCCGTCGCAATCTCAACCCCCTTTGCAAATTCAACCTCAATCGCAGTCTTTTCGGAATGCTCATCCAAAGTCATACATATTTCCATGGGGGAAGCACAAGGGCAAGCCGATCCTAGAGGTACCCATTGACTATATACGATGGCTTCAAACGAGCTCCGAGATGTACAGGTCGAATCCGGTGATGATAAAGGCTGTCGAGTATGCCATGTACACAGCTTCGATGGCTACACCCTCATCTCCTGGACCTTCACACTCTACCCCTACATCCTACTCAACCCCACCTTCTACTCGTCCAAATTTTTCGACGCCCCCGTCTTCCCAGTCAGTTCCATCATACTCGCAACCGATCTTTTCGCAGCCAACCCCATCTTAATCTAAGCTGCCTCTCTCTCAACCAAACCCATCAAACTCCCAGCCGTCACGAACGCCTCTTGCTCCTCGGTCGTCAAACCATACTCTCATCGCGGTCAAACAAGAGATCGATGGCCCTTACGTACTTGACTTCGGAAAACACCAAGGATCGAAGCTGGAGGATGTCCCTGCCGATTATCTTGCATGGTTGAAAAAACAACCCCACAATACTGAGGCATTGAAGAAGGCCATTCGCGACTGGGACAAGATTCCACGGGTTTATCGATTGGGCTTTGGTATGCATCGAGGCTGCACCTTGGACGAAGTCCCACCGGCCTATATCACTTGGCTATACGAGAATGCCGCCGATGAGTATGACGACCTTCGTGAAGCTCTCGCCAAGCACAAGCGCGAGAATTCCATTAAGCAAGTCACGGCGCAGAAATCCAAATCCAGCAAAAAGCAAAAGAAGCCTTTTGTGTGCCCTTCCAAATTACACCTCAGACTATCGTCGTTACTATTACGCTGGAGATCGCAAAGGCCAACAAATGTGGATTGGATGTCACGATGCATTGAAGTACTTTGGTGCTGATGCGACAGCCATGAAGGCAGCTGGTCTAGAGGTTTTCCATAAGGGCCAGCGTTTCTGGGTCCACCAAGTCTTTGCTTATGCGAGGCATTTTGGTACCACTGGGACCGACACTCCAACGAATGCGCTGAACAAGTCCAAAGCAAAAAAGTACAACTAATGAGCCACAAATTCTGACCTAGGTCTGCTTTGCGGCAGACTAGGAACTCACGATGTTACCACCCACCCATGCAGACGCCAGTAGTCCTTCATTGGCTACAATATCAGCGCATATGGACACGATCTCTGTGCCTTCATTACATGAGAAGCGTGACACGAGTCAATTGAACGAGTATCTGGCATTTCTGTGATCGTCATTTGGTAAGCTACATATGAGTCCAAAATGTCACGCAGGTGCTAACCTTTAAACCAGGATCTAGTGATATAAGTCACTACATAGAATCATTCTCTGTCACTTCGCTGATCATGTAAAGAATAGTTCGATCGGGATACTAAAAGAATCCTTCTAGTTTTACTTAATGTAAGACCGATTCCAAAGAGATAATAGCTAAGATTTTTCGGTACGATAAATACTACTTAATAAGTAAAGGTACTCGTATAATAGTTAGTAAGGGTAGCGAGTCTACACGTCTAATCCTAAGTAAGGTTGGGGTATAGGTATAGTAGTAAGATACCTAATCATTAATTTATATATACCATGCAAAAGGTATCATCTCTTAAACCTCGTAGATGTAAATTTAGATTTTAGTATTGGCGATACCTACTTTGCGTCTTAGTACCTCACAATACTACTCCTTAAGTAGTGCGGAGCATGTCGGATCAAGCCCTGTAGCGCACTTAGGCATTATCCCGATTGGTCCGAGTGCTTAAATAGGAAATCTTAAACTTAAAGTCCTAGATACACATACATAGTGACCAGGGGGTAGCAGCAGCAGCAGCAGTAGTATATACATGGCTTTCACGATTAGTCCTTTGCCATTTGTGATTATCTCGTCATTGGTCTAATTGAACAAACCGGATGCGGTAGCTTTTTGAGTAAGAGCATTATATTGAAACTTTTTGCCATGTCCCTAGCTTGATTTTACCACTCATCTGTTGTACCCTAGCCTACCCGGGCCACACACTTCGTCGTCGTTCGTAGCTACGGTAATTGACCTCCATCTAACAGCCATTGCAGTTACATGTTTCCGGGATGCAGACGAAGCTTGCCACACCACATTTGCTCTCGCAGTCGGTATTGCACTTGTTGAATAGCCGTGAACAGTTTGGGCTTTGAGCCACACTGGCGGAGGCGAGGGCGAGGGTTACGAGGACGCTAAGGAACTTCATTGTTTCGGAGAGGAGGATATGAATGAATGGAAGATGAAGAGGGATTATGAAGCAATGGACGAATTTCTTGGAGAGAGAGGTACAGGTGAAGAACAAGATTCGAGAATGGGTGGATGTTGTGTAGGCTCAGCGTCGAGGAGGGGATAACGAGAAAGTAGGATCCTTTCGTTTCGATAGAGATAGAGAGTTCGCAAATAAAACGTTAGAGGAGCACTGCCTGACGAGAGGAATTGCGATTCAGCCAACTTAAATACACTTGTAAACTCTACTCTTGGCCAACTCTTGTGACTCAAATTAATATACTATGTGCCGCGGCGTAACATTTACTTTAATAATCTACCCATCCAAGCCTTGGCTGTATCTAGGCAAATAACTTGGGCCTTGGCATCGGGCATACCCGTAAAATACAGATCCAACTTATACCTACTCGGTCCCGTTTTAGTCTTATTCAAATTGCACTCTTTGAGTACCACAAAGTAGATGTGAGTAAGTGTGAGTAATAGGTCCTCGAGCTAGTGGGAGTGGTGGATTTTATACCCTAGTTGGTCAAATCTAGAGATTTCATCCAAAAAGTCCAGATTTTGCCGTCTTGCGAGACTCCCCTAATGATCTACGTGTATTTAGTGGGCACTTTTAAGATTCTAGCTTGGCAACATCAAGGGGTTCTAAGCCAGAAAAGGTGACCAGACAAATGTGAAAGCGTGGATAGACGTACGAAGTAAAACAGAAGAACAGAGAAAGTTATAAGGTGGGAGTATAGATGTACTTTTATACTATAGAGCACCCTTATAGTACTTTCTACTTACATCTACTTTGTAACAGCCAAAGAGTGCGATTCAAATAAGACTAAAACTAAATTAAGTAGAGGTATTTAACGTAAAAAGAGTATAAAATGTTCGCCATGAGTGGTTACATTGAGCGTCAAAGAGGTGCTTCGCAACATTCTTAGTAGTTTCTTAGTAGTAAAGGGTTTGGACAGCTCGCGTCGCCCCCTCCCCTATATACGACTCGTTATAGGCAGGCAGGGTATAACCCCACAATATAACCCTCTAAACGAATTGCATTGTCCGATTGATTTGGAGGTATATTAGAAAGCGACAAGGGGGGACCCGAGCTGTCCAGACCCTTTCCTCTTACAATTCCTACCATAACCATCTTTTTTATATATAAAGGCACTAGACAGCTCGCGTTACTACCCTTATATAAACGAAGTCTAGGTAAACCTAGAAGAATAGTATTACTTATATCCTTGAAGTTCTAGTCCCGAACATTTTAGGTATGGATTTATGAATAACCTCGATATTAGGGGCGTGTTTCGAATGCGGTAACTGAGCTTCTTTCAGGGGCAGGGGCAGAGAGGGGTTCGAAGACAATATTTTTCTCAAAGTCATCTCTGTTGCTACTGGACACTGAACTTCCTAGGTTGTACTAAAGAATACCCTGTGGCTTTATCTGTAGTTAGTGCAAAGAGTTCACCATGAAAATTACCAAATATCATACTCCAAATCTATACCTTGGATTTTATGTTCATAAAGACCATGCGTCGTACATATATCGCGAAAATGCTAACCAAGTCGCTGACGCCTTATAAAACTCCAACACCTTAGATGCACAAAACCTGGCTTTGAAGGCATTGGGAAGACAAGACTAAGGAATGGGGTCCCAAGTAAGAGATGAAAGATATGTTTTTGGGGATGTTCAGTCTCTCGCAACTATCCCTTCCAGACGATATATGATCTAAACAATCACGCACTCTAAGTAGATACAATTAAATGCGAAAACAAGGGAAACATAACGCTCAATTTCTTTGGAACGTTACCAGGTTGGTCAAAGGACTTTATTTTACAGGGCAAGTACTATAAAAGGAAACAACTTTACCCCACTTCGGAATGTATGTTTTTCTAGTTACTTTATTGTCCGGAAGGGATTCATCGAAAGTTTACTTCTATATAAGTAACACCCCGAGAGAGCCGTTTATATATCCCTCCCTCACTTAGAATTTTTTTCACAGAAAGCAACGTGATTTTATTGAAAATATTCCTAAGAAAGCGAAACTACCGAATTCAAGTGTTTGTTGAAAACACATTAACTTTTGACCAGCGATATCTTGATATTAAGATCCCGCTTAACACAATCGATATTGATAATCTCCCTCCAATTCTAGCGTTGTTAAAACGATGGTTTCCAAACACAGGTTTGATATGCTGGTTGGTGCTACTTGTTCGTCAGCTGTTATTGTACTCTTGTGGACATGGAAGCGGTGGCTCCTGACGTACTCGCATATATGAGGATACTAATTATGCTTTGCCCTTTTATTCTTGTGCTGTTCACTCGAACCTTCAGCCTCGCCATTATTCTCAGCCCGCTTCGGAGGTGCACGATAATTGTTCGGTTCGAACCCTGCCTTCTTTTGCCTGTCCAACTCTTTTACGTCAGTGAAATGTTCGGTGGTTCCGCCTATCACCTTCTTTACAGCTTGATAATACAACCGTCCATCAGGGGCTGTCAACCATTGCATGACACCTTCCTGCTTAGCATTTTCCGAATCCTGCCATACAGGATAATATTTCCAGTAGTATTTTCGAACTCTATTATCTACCCATTCAGTACCCCACCTGAATTATAGATGTTTTTTCCCCCTTGCGAATTCCCATTGAGTTGCAAACCCGTCCATGGGCTCTTCAGTTTGTCGGGACCACGAATACGGGATTTCAGCACCAGAAGTGGATGTGGAGGCGCCTGACGGATATAGGGCTTGAGTTGTAGCACTAGTCAAACCGATCTCTTCAACCCCTCGGGTAATTGCTTTATATTCCGAGCTGCCCCAGGCGGACTCTTGGGAAAGTTGGGCTTGACCGCCGGAGCAACTAGCGATACCTCGCTCAGCCAAAATGAGTCCTGGCAGACTCATAATGGGATTGCCATCTTTATCACGCCCAGTCATAATTGGCTTTTGTTCCCTGGTTGGCTTTTGCTCCAAAGCGATTAATTGTTCATCGGTATAATATTCTGATTTAGATGACTCGCCATGAAGAATGGGTGTATCGGTTTGTTTTACTTTAACGGTAGCCCTCGGACCTGGGTAACCGGTCACTTCGGAAGGGGCTTGAAGGCGAGGAGGCGGATTTGGCTTTCGAATTCTTTTGAAAGCGGAATGCTCTTCAAAATTACCAATTCCACCTAGTTCCGAAAAAGCCCAGTTCACAATGTACTCTACCCAATCCTGTAATTGAGACTTATATGTTGCATCCGCAAATTCCTCAAGGCATAGCTCTCGTGGATGGCTTTGTGTGGTGTAAAGTTTATACGAAATGGAAGCATTGGTATAGCGTCTTGTTGAATTGATATACCCTCCATGGTCGACCACAAAGTTCATCAACTTTGCCACTGCGGCGGCAATTTTATAAGCAGGCAACTCGGGTTCCCCATAATTCTTGTATCTTGTTTCGAAACTTGTGGCAAAATATACTTCCGCTGTACTCCATGATTTGTGATCTCCGGCTGCATAATTCCAGGTACGAAAACCTGGTTCTTGAGCTTCCTTCTGATCTTCCTTGTTATCCCCCTTCTGATCTCCCTCCTGTTCCTGCTCTCTGTTTTTACCCTTGTTCATTGTAGCAATGATTTTATGAAACTGCGTAAAGTTTATCGAAGATGGTAAGATGGTCAAAGTTGCGTTGTAGAATTGATAACCTGGCATAGAGAAAATGAAGATTATGATTATTCGGAGAAGTCTTTGCCTTATATACTGATAAGTTTCGCGTTCTTCTCAACCATTCTCAACCACACACAGTTTTATTTTTAAATCCATATTGTGTTTTCTATGTTGTCCAAGTAGATAGATGATTTGCTTACAATCTCCACTTCTTTGTTTGCAAATAAATTCTGGACTTATTCTGTTGGGTTGTTGGAATAACTTCCGATACATACCTTCGAATCAGATTTCAGAGTAGCAGACTCTTTAAAGTCTGAGTTGGTTGATCTCCTTTGTCTTCTACTAGAGATCCACGAGAGGTTCGTGCGTATGAGATATATCTTGTTATGCCAAACAAAGATTCCTGAAAGTGTCCTTCTTAGCCTTCTATTATTGGTTACCGCTCCAACAACTTAGTTGGTTTCTTCATTTACAAAATAGGATGTGCTTATATATGACAAGAAAATGGTCCATCCCAGCCAGTAGTATACGTGGAAGCTCAGAATAGCCAAACAACAAAGATTGAAGCCAGCTGAAAGAAAGATTCCTACCTGAGGCGCTTAAATACGAATAGAAAATAATCACCGGAATATCCTATCATTTTTCTGGAGGGGTATACTGTATAGCTGATTTTAGACTCCAGCAACATCCCTTTCATGGCCGTGAAATAATTATGTCAGCAACCAACCTCCTCCCTCCCCCGTCAAATCTGGCCCCTGCTCCTTGCTCCTATTGATAAGCTTCCCCAGTACTTCTAGCCAACGAGAACCGGATTCATACTTCTGATCTTTGTTAGGGGCGGGGCAGGGATCCGTAACTGGTATTGAAAGGATGGTCCTATGCTCTTTCCTTGTTTTCAGAGACTGCAACCCGTCAACCAATCCATTGTCCAAGAACTCCTGTGTTTGTTATAATTTTCTAGCTGTGCCGCTTTTTCAGCTAGCCTTCCTTGTCCTTGACTCATATCAGACTGTGGGCTTCCATGGTTGGAATTCATGCGCCTCATTTAATAGAGGCACTGGAACCCTTAATGCTCCCTGACATGCCTCAAAGCGCCATTGCGTATAATCTGAGGCGCAGAAAGGCTGGACGAACGACATAAATGTTTCCAGGAGTGGTATATATGTACCGTAAGAGAAGAGTATAGTAGTGTAGAGTAGAGTAGTAGTACCTGAGTAGACTTACTCTACTCTACTCAAGTAGGTTTAACCCTACTATACTCTACTCGCCAAGTACTCGAGTACTACTTAAGTACTACTCAAGTAGTACGGAGTAAGTCGGGTCGAGCCTCGACGAGCTATTCTAATAGCTCGGAATTCATAGGCCCCTTATAAGGTATAAGCGATAGTATAATAGAGCGCTTTAGAATCAAATATCCTGTCTCTTTTATGAATAGTTGACTTATAAGGAATGGGAGATAAGAGAGCTACTATTTGTAACGAATACTCAAACTGGCTAACTAAACTTGGCTGGGTGTTCGCTGGTTGGTATGCTATGATAAGAAGAAGACTATCGGGTTGTTCACTTGGAAGTGAACTCGTTACTTGTATCAAAGATGTCGAACTAATATGATAAGATCGATAACTAAGTTGAGCACGAAACTCCTATCTAATGGCAGACGTGCCAGTCTTATATAGAACCTTCTTGCTCGTTGATCATTATGATCACCCTGATCCCACTGATCCAGCTCAGCGTTGCTCAGTTGATCACCAATGATCAATGACGGTCACATGACTTCTATCAGATGAAATCCCTGGATCGCTTAGCTAGCCTAAGCATCCCTATTTGCTATAAGAGTGTGTTGCTGGTGCTTAACCTGTCAGGACGCCGCCTGGTCTTTACTTATCACATGCCAACACGTGATTCGTGACACTATTTAAGGATAAGTTATAAGAATACTAAAAGTATAATTTAGCTTATAAGACTATACTAAGTATAAAACGCTTCTAAAACTTATATAAATCGTATGTATATAAATTTAACTAAGTTAATATAATTTTATTTTTTCGGATTATTTATATAATTATTAATATAATTATTATAACTTTATTCCCTTTATTTAGTATTTAGAATCTCCCCTTCTTTTCTTTTCTAACTACTAGGAAAGAAGTAGGAAATCTATATCTTTAGCTAGGAGAAAGAAAGGAGAATAAGTTACTTATCTAGAAAGAAATAAATAAAAAGAGGTAGGTGTCACGAATCATGTGAACGCACGTGATAAGTGAAGACCAGGCGACGCCCTGACAGGTTGAGCACTATCATAACTCTTATAGCAAAATAGGGATCGACTAGGCTAGCTAGACGATTCAAGGATTTCCTTTGGTTATTAAGTCACGTGATATGGATCATTTGGGTCTGAATGATCCACGATCCAGGAGTGTGGATCTGGCGATCTAGTCGCACTCCTGTGGAGAACGAAGATTCTATATAAGACTGGCACGTCTGCCATTAGATAGGAGCTTCGTGCTCCACTTAGTTTAGCAATCTAGTTATTAAGTTATTACTTCTTTGTTAACAAGTGACGAGTTTACCTCCGAGTAAACAACCCGGTGTCACGAATCACGTGTAAGCATGCTGTCACGAATCACGTGTAAGCATGCTGTCACGAATCACGTGTAAGCATGTGACGAGTGAAGACCAGACGGCGCCCCGACAGGTTAAGCACTATCATATCTCTTATAGCAAATAGGGATGCTTAGACTAGCTAAGCGATCCAGGGATTTCTCAGTATAGGAAAATGTCACGTGATCGTGATCGCCTACATCGCCTGAGTCGCGAGCGACGAAAGCGATGTGCGCGATCCAACGGAGAACGAAGGTTCTATATAAGACTGGCACGTCTGCCATTAGATAGGAGCTTCGTGCTCAACTTAGTTATCAATCTTATTTCTTCTTCTTATCATAGCATACCAACCAGCGAACACCCAGCCAAGTTTAGTTAGCCAGTTTGAGTATTCGTTACAGTTTTGTTTGGCTCCTTTGGAGTCTTAAAGAGATATAATATAGGAATCGATTATATATCCTTCCTATAACTTTACCGAAAATGAACCTAGATAACATCCCTTTAACAGCTATAACCTTCTGATCACAAGTTGGCGAAGTAAAGACGTCATTCAATGATCATGTAACTGAAATGGAACTGAAGAGACTCAATAACAGTTTCTAAATTCCCCTGTGAGCTTGTACTTACTTTCGCGGACAGTGTAGTCGTTACCAAAAACAAAGGCAGCAGTAGCCATTCAGCCAATTCGCAAGTGGTAAGACTTTGTAAGGTGGAACACAGTCGTGAATTTCAAAGCTCAAACGAATAGACTTGCAAAGTGACCATAAGCGAACTTGTTCACAGCTTATAGCTTGCGGCTCAATAATAAGCCGTCACTCAAGATTATGCTCATCTCCCCAAACCAATCCCTCTGGGACCACTTTCCACTGGGCCACCTCATCAAGAAGCTCTTCCATTTGGCCCCATTCCTTTCTTATGCACTCAGCCTTCTCAGCGCTTCGAGGGGTTATCTTGGTCCGAAAAGGCTTAGGAAGCATCATTACACCTTCCGCCAAATCATTCATATCCGGTATGATCTCCTGGTTAGTTTCTGGGTCCGATAGTCTCTCGAAATTGAAAGCCCAGAGAAGACGTCCAATTGCAAGAAACAGAGACCTATCCGCGATGTGCATGCCTTGGCATTTTCGCCTTCCAGCACCAAAAACGAAATGATCTCTCTTAGTAGCGTCAGGGTTATTAGATGCATTTGTCGATGTCTGTTCATCACCAATATACCTCATGGGGTCAAACTGCCGTGGGTAGGGATGTCGCTTAGGATCGTTATGCACAGCCCTAAACCATTAGCAAAATATTCCCCTCAAGGCTAACAAAAGAGAAGTATGCTGAAATTACACACCAGACGTTCAAGATGACCGTTGAACCCGATGGTATCTGGTACCCCATATACGTATCATCTTGAGTAACGGAGTGTGGGATCCCTAGTGTAAATCCGGGCATCCATCTCAGACTTTCCTTGGCACAAGCTCGGATGTAGGGAAGGTTAGGGACATCATTCAGATCGGGCATACGTTTATCGCCGCAAACACGTTCGAGTTCTTCTTGAGCATATTTCACCACGTCGGGGAAAATTGTCATTGCCTGAATGAAACCGACTAGTATGCTTGATGTCGTTTCAGACCCAGCCTGCAGCAATGAGCCGCCTAGATATGCGGCAAGGTCATCGGAAAATATTTCCTCCTCTTTCTGCAACTTAATAAGATCAACGCAGATGCATGGCTATAGTTACAGGTTAGGAATGCTTCATTTTGCCATGTTCAGGAGCTTTCGTACCTTGGCGCTGCCGTCTACTAATCCCTGCTTTGCTTGAAGATAGAGGCGCCGGAAAAGGCTCAACTCTCGACGGTGTATCTCCCTCCCTTCTTTCTTGATGGGCAGGAGACATTCAGGTATATGTCTTAACATTGGCACAAGGTCTAGAAAGGCGGCCATCTAGAGTGTTTTGATCAGTTTTGTTACTTCACTTCGGAAGACCTATAAGGGATGCATCTAGGAATAGTTTTTTGGACTCACACGAGAACCACTGAGCTCGGAACCTCGGTCCAAAATCTTCAAAGATTGTTAGGAGCTCTTTCATTGTAACACAACTTTCTACAATACTAACATCGAACACTTCCTTAAATTCTTTCGTTTGTGTGCTTGTTGTCCGAAAGCCAAATGTCATCTGCGTGGTTAAGGACGCTGAATATCGACGCAGGTGGTTAATGAAGTCGCCGGGGCTATTCAAAAATCCAAGTAGCATTGCTTTGCTTTCTAAGTCTTGATAGGGGACGTAAGTCCTTGCGGCAGATATGTTGAGAACTCGGTGTGCGATCTGAATTGGTATGTCAGCTAAATCGAAGCTTGTAGGGGGGAGAGTAAGGCGTGGCAAATGCTATGCTGTTCGATCTTCCCAGAACTTGTAGGCTTCAAGAGTTCAATCGTTTGATATCTTAACATAGTATATCACACAAAACATAAATTGAGACAAATTCACATACTTTGCGTGCCATTTTCCACACGTCGGAATTTGGCTAGAATATTTTGATTAGCCAGTCAATTACATAGTAGAACGGAGTGGATGACTCAAGTACCATGAATAGAATCCTTAGTCCACCGCTGAGAATATCCTGGGCGATATATGCCTGTGGTCTAGAAGAGTAAATAGCACCTCGCTTATCTACGAGGTCTTTGATAGCCAAATCTGAGTTGAGAACAATCATGACTTTGGTCCCTAACATAAGTGAATAGATCGGTCCATACTCTTGAGCCCATTTCTCAAATTGTAAATGTCGCTTCTGATTGGGGATTTGGTGTAGGTTACCGATGAGTGGCAGTGTAGGTGGTCCGGGGGGGTAGCTACTTGGTCTGCGACCAATTTTGCTCAGCTTCCAGAAAACAGCTGAAAGCACAATTGCAATAGCAGTAAATGTAATCGTATTCGCGCCTTCGAAAGACATAGCACCGACTTATACTGGTAATGTTGTAAGTAGCTTTTGATCGTTAAACCCTTCCATGAAAATTGAAGCGACCAGAATTAATTCCCCCTGCGAACACGGAGGAACTTTGATGCTGTCTCCTTTACGGATCGGTGGAAATTTCAGGTGGGTCAAGAACGTACTACTGTACCCTAGCCTAGGTGTTGTGAACCGGGGATTTTGGGCCAAGAAATTTCCGACCTTCACGCGCAGCAAATGGCAATTCAAGACGAACTTCTAGCGACGAAACTTAATTCTCAGGAGACGAAGATAGAAGGAGAGCCTGATGAAAACCCCGAGGAAGATATTATGAAACAATTTTCAGATGCTCTGACAGATACAGCAGCAGTTCCCCACGACGAATTGTCCTGCAGGAGCACGATCCGTCCACGATTATACGTGGACCACCTCCCATTTATGCCCACCCGTGCAAGGTATTTATTTACTCCCTGAAATCTGGAGAGGGAAGCCGATTTCCGAGTACTTTTATCTGTCTAAGCGCCTCGGATTGACTTTTACGAGAGTTTCAAACTTATCGATCATAATTCGAGAGTACCACCTATGTACGTAGTATAGAGCCTTCCTCTTTTACAACTTTTCGGTCATTACGCCATTCTCCCTATCTATCTGATTTTCCTATATAAGTACTTAAATTTAAATATCTCTGTCTGCCCTGTAAAACCAATTCTCTCAGCCTTCGAGCCATTCATCGCGCTCTTAATAAATCTGCAATAAGTACGCAATTCCATGTGTAATATGTCTTAACATGGACATTACGCACAGAGGGACTATTTACTAATGATTTTAAAGCGCATATGCTAAATGAACCTTCGTATAGTCTCCTCGGGCTTATTGTACTTAAATAGGATAAAGCCTGGAAATGACCATAAATTATTTCCTGGGTAGTGAAAATAGAAAACCCGTCGTAATTCCAATATTAATCTTACAAAGTTTGCAAAATATAAAGCGATGATCGAGCCGCGGAAGATGAGCGTATCTTCAACTATAATAGGAATATAGTAGCAAAAAGAACGAAGACTTATACTTAGAAAATCTAGTGACAATGTCGGATATTTCCAAGACCGACGACATTCGAGGGTTAGGGTTAGGGTTAGGGTTAGGGTTAGGGTTAGGGTTAGGGTTAGGGTTAGGGTTAGGGTTAGGGTTAGGGTTAGGGTTAGGGTTAGGGTTAGGGTTAGG